TATTATTAATTATTACCGACTATAGATTATCAATTATCGATTATTGATTTATTTTTTATTTTTCATTACCGAACAAATTTCTATTTGTTTTTTCAAAATCTCACTTTTTTCTCTTTTCTTTTTTATCAAAATCAATAAATCAATTAAAAATATTATTACATTGTATAATTTGATGAAAATTTGTTTGTTATCATCATACAATCTGTTGCTGCAGGACTAAAACATTAAAGTAAAATAGATGAGTAGTAAAATGATAAATAATGATAATTAATGATAGGTAAATGACAATTAATGATAGGTAAATAATAATTAATGATAGATATTGTACATTTGGTTCCATTGATAAAAATGATCATTTTGGTATCTTTGATAAAGCAGTATGCTAAAGTTCCACAATGGTCAAAAATTGAAGGATGAGTTATTTCTCTTTGTGTAATCAAAGGATAGTAAAAGCAAAAAAAAAAGAAAATGAAACGAAAAAAAATAGAAAAAATTTAAACTCTTCCAAATTTTTTTCAAAAAATTACAATTAACACACAAAAAAAAGAAAAAAACCAACAAACAAACAATTATCTGTATGATATTTTTATTTAATTTAAAGGTTTAAAATGGATGAAAAAAAAAATGTGTGTAATTTTTATCAAAAGAATGAAATAATGATTAAATTTCTGGTTATGCTCTTTCATGTTTTATTTTCTTCTACAAAATAATAATTTATGTTTTGATTTAAATAAGCTCAATTTATTTTTATTCATTCCAACTTTATGCATTGAATTATGTGATAAGATGATAAAAGAGCTTTTTTTTTTTTGATCATTTAGCTTCTTCTTTCCCATTTAATATTTTTATCTTTAAACAATATCTTTATCCTCTAACTCTTTTCTCGTCTTTTTCCTATTACATACGATCAATTCTTCCTTTATTTTCCCTTATAAAAGCATGTAATTGAATAGCTCATCAATCATATCCCACCTCAATTGCTCTCTTTCTTCCTATTAAATTTCAACTAAAATAATCCTCCTTCTTTCCACTCGTAACTACTACTACCTTCAATCTATCTTACCACTTCAACTTTCTAACGTTATTATTATTATTATTATTATCATTATCATCATCATCATCATCGCAATATCACTCAATAATACCGTCATCATTATCATCATTATTGTTATCATTATCAACAATATCAATTATTAGCTAACAATTCAATCATTCCTAGTTTACCATTTTTTTAAATTAAAAAAATTATATGTTTAAAGTATAGGCTTAGATTAGTAAAACTGATAATTTATTATGTTTAGATTGTGATCCTAATAGCAAATCATTGATTGCAAGCATATTTATGATGAAATCAGTTCCTGTCGCATGATTTATCAAAATTTCATCTAAATGCTGTCATTTTAATTGTATATTTTATATTTTAAAACTGGAAAAACATTTCCATTTTCAATTAGCAATCAATTAGTGAATGATTTTGTTAATGCCTGCAAAATCCTTTAATTAGTCATTCACAATGTTTTTTTTTTCTTATTTAATTATATGAAAAAAAAAGTGCATAATAAATTTTATTGTTTGAAATAATTTTTATAAAATTTACAAATTGTATTCCTTCTTCTCTTTTTTTTTCTTTTTTTTTTTTTTTTTAACACAG